TAAAGGCGCAGGCCCCGCGCGTGCCCGCGCTTAAAGGCGTAGGCAGCCCCCCAAAGGCACGCCCCTGGCCCCACCTTCTATGGAGTCGCCCTGGAGCTGCTGGGAGCGAGAATCCCTGGATATAGAGGGACTGAAGCAGAGAGCTAGAGATTGAGAGAACAGAGATGATAGAGACAAAAAGATGAGCAGGCTTAAACTGAGACACAGCCGGACAGAAATATACAGATGTACAAGGAGAGATGGAAACACAGAGACAGTGATGGATTCAGAGAGCGAGAGACAGACAGAAGACAAGGACAAGGCAGAAACAGAGAAACAGAGGTGCACACGCACACACGTGGGCTGTAATAGCACTTGGGGCAACTTGGCTGTGAGGCTGTGTGTGCGTATTGTGTACTCATTTCTAGCCCTGAATGTAGCGCGCGCGCATGCACACACACACACACACACACACACACACACACACACACTCACACTCACACGCACGCGCACACACACCCCACCCAGCACCACCTTTCTGGGCTATCCCTTCCACAGTGAAGTTTCCTTACCTGAGCTCTGCCCAGCAACAGGCCTGACCTTTGTTCCTTCCCAAGGCTCCTTTCCCTGGCTGCCAGGGGAAAACTTGGCTCCAAGACCCTGTGCCCTCTGGGATTAGGAATAGATCTCAAGATACACTGACCAGACTGCTGAGGAGGAGTAAGAAGACAGGAAACGGGTCAGAGGCGGGGGGTCTGGTCAGGTTGGCCCTCTATCTTCCCCTCCTCCCACTCAGGTCCACTGCCCACGGAAGACCCTGGAATTGTGCGGACACGTGACTCACAGGGAGTGGAGCAGGCGGGGAGGGGAGGGGGGGAGGTGTCCCACACTGTCCTGGAAGATGGTGTTTCAGGAAGCGTGTGTGAGTGATGGTCTCCATACCTGGCTAGGGAACTTGGTTATAGCAGCATGGGGGACCTGATCTTCCAGGAGCCCTGATGCAAAGGGAACCTAGCCTTGGTCTCGGTGGTCTGAGGTGGACATGCCCTACCCAGGGGAGCCTGAGTGGTCCTGGAAACCACCCCTGGGTATCCCATCTGAGCGGAGGAGTCAAGTGACCTTGGGAGTGGGGTGTGAATGCATACCCACCTTCACATCCCTAGCTCTGCTGAAGGTTTCAGAATAGACTTTTGGCTCCTTCTACTTATGTGTATTGAAAAAAATGCAGCTAAAATTAACTCGGCCCTGGGGCCCCCCTTTCCAGATCATTAGCAAAGTTCATCATGCTCCTGGCCTGGCACAGCCAATATGGTTGCTCAGAAACTCTGGAAAGGGCTGCAAAGGCTTCAGAGACCTGCAGAGGTGGTAGAGCTGGGGGAGACAGAAGGAGAGGTGTAGACAATCCTGACAGCAGGACCGAATTTTGGGGTGATCCCAGGAAACAGGGGCAAGGGAGAGAGGAGCATGAAACAGGGGACAGAGAAAATGACCAGAAGCTAGCTTTGATGAGGAGCAGGGTACCTCTCTAGACACTGGGGCTCCATTCTGCTGGAGAACTTTAAGGAACCTTGGGGAACACATCAGAATTACTTCCCTACCCTGCTCTATAGCGAAGTTCAGAGAGGCTGGGCATTTATCCTCCACTTCTTCCCCTCCTTGGGTGATGGGTGTTCCCGAGGGGGAAGAGAGTGGCACCGAGAGCCACTTCAGATCTGAGATGGAAAACCAGAGGCGCCCAGCCTGAGCCCAACCACTATGGTAAAACTCACCGAGCTGAGAGACAATAGCAGCCTGGGTGTGCGCAGCATCAGACAGGCACAGACCAAGATGCTGTTACTAGTTTGGCATCGGCGGCAGAAGTCTGGGCTTGGCTGTGTGAGTTGACACTGCAGGAAACATGGTGACCAAGACAGCTCAGGTCCTGCCTTCAGTGACCTCTCATCCCAAAAGGGAGAAAGTGACATCTCCAGACAGCCTAGAGGGGTCAGGACTGGCGGGGGAGGAACTCAAGCTGGAAAGATTGGGCCTGTGATGAGGAACAGCAGACCATGGTGGTCAGGATGGTGACGTGAAAAAGTGCAGGGCAAAATAATAAGGGCTACGATGACAAAACACAGGCTCTGGTGGGGGAAGAAATGGAGGCGGCACAGGCAGAGTCTGGTCCCTTCTCCCAATCCCGAGCCTGGGAGGCTGCCTAGAACTGGGGGCCATCACGCTGGGATCTGAAGAAGAGCGTGCATGGAGCAGGTGGGCAAAGGTACATTTGTGTGCAACTCACCTGCGCCTGGATGCCGTAGTGTAAGCAGCCTGGCCTCCCCGAGTGCCTGGATAGTGCTGTGTGGGTCTGCGTAGGCAACAGCCCCTCATTAGCTCCTGGAAGGGGATCCTGGTGGGATGGTTGTTTGGGGGACTCTGCTTAATTGCTGCATTTGCTTAATTGCAACATCTGGAGACAGAAGCAGCGGAAACAGCCCCAGCAGAAAGAATGAGGTTAAATTGCCTAAGAGCTGAGGAGGCCTTGGGGAGAAAGAAACTGCTCTTATCCACACGCAGCCCAATGCACACGGAATATGGCCGAATGTACACAGCCACATGGGGACACACCGTACTCACATGTGCATAGCATGTACGCTGAGGCTCACTGCGGTTACAGGGGCTTGTGTCGAGATAGGGAGACAAACACAGATGCACACTAGATATATCTCCAAAACACAAATGCACCCTCACACCATGCCTGTAAGAGGTCACAGGTGTGGAAACAACAGTCTGCATGCAGATTCTCTCTTGCACACACATGCACAAACACACACATACATGAAACAGAGAGTCATATTAAACATTCACAAAGGATGAGTACATACATGCACACATGCAAGCACAGGCGCACACATTCATGCATGTACATTCAAATCAGTGAAGTCAGTCTGGCAAAAAAGAGTCACATTATAAAGGGACATAGTGTCCTTCCAAGCCAGCAGGTTGTCAGAGCAAGGAGGATGGAAGTAGTGCCCTCCTGTCCCTCAACTTGCAGCCACCAACCTGTCTGGCCAGTGGAGTTCTCAGGCATTAGCTCAGATTTATAATCCGCACATGGATCTGGGGTGAGGACCAGGGACTCACTAAAGATCAGGCCTGAAGGTGCACCTCACATGGTGGGGCCCAAAGAGAGGAGCAGGAAGATGAGTTCTCCCCTCCCCACAGCAACGCTAATCACCCTAGATCAGACTAAGGGGTCCCAGCAATCAGCAACTTCTGCAGGGCTACCACAAAGACCCTGCAGGGGAGGGTTTTACTTAACAATAGCGGGAGACTTAAATACAACTCTCAGGGTCTGCTTTAATGACTTCCAGCTATCAGAATGGAAGAAGGCTTCCATAACAAGTGGCGGAAAGTTTACATTTGTGCACAGAATGGAGGGAAACACACAGATAGCAAGCACAGAGACTGAGCCACAGTACAGATGTGCTATATGAAAGCCAGAATGCCACGATTGGGAATTAGAGGCTCATTTCATAGAGTGACTGCCACTCAAGCTTTATAGATATCAGGGGCCCAGAAAGGAAGGGTCAGTGTATTAGCGGAATGCCAGCTGCTATAACCAATAACCTCTGGGATTTCAGTGACTTCATACAATAGTTTGTTTCTCACAGGTGTCCTAATTAGTTGGCAGAAGTCCTCCATTTGGTGATTCAACACTAGACTTGTTAATCTTGCGACTCCATTATTTCCTGGGGACATGGAATGATTACCTTCCACCTAGTAACTGTGAGGAGGCTGGATGGAGGTTTACCTGCTTCCTATAGATTTGTCCAGCTGGGTGTGGAGGTATGTGCCTATAATCTCAGCTTCTGAGGAGGCTGAAACAGGAGATCACAAGTATGGGGTCAGCTTGGGAAACTTAGCAAGATCCTATCTCATAATAACAAAAAGGGTTAAGAATATAGCTCAGCACTCCAGGAGTTCAGCTCTCAGTACTGGAAAAAAAGAGACTTGTCCAGAAGTGATTTACAGACTTCCTTTCTATCCACATTGGCAGAACTAGTCACACAGTCACCCAAATACAAGGGGGGCTGAGAATGTATCTCAGGTTAGGCATCTCTTGCCCAGCCACAACTATGCAAAAGGAGTGTGAATTATTATGCCCCCAGCATTAACCATTACCATCATATCTATAACCCCAGGAGGCTTTGGGATTTCTTTCCACCCACTACAAGTCCCCTGCTGAACACCCACCTACCTACCTTGCTTTCCTATCTTGGAGGTAGATGACCACAAATTTGACCTTTCTTTTCCCCTAATATTGTTATTGAACCCAGGGTCTCCATACTGAGCTACACCCCCAGTCCTTTTATTTTGAGACAAGGTCTTGCTAAATTGCCGAGGCTGGGATTGAATTTGTTGTCCTCCTGCCTCAGCTTCCCAGAGTACTGGGATTACAAGTATTTACCACTGAACTTACTATATTTGACCCCTTTGAGAGCAAAATGAACCTGGCTTTATATGGTCTCTAAGTCAGTGTAGAAAGTTGAGGTGAATGTCCAGTACTTCTCCCCCAACCATTTACTGAGCTCTTGCTATGTGCTAGGCCTGGTACTGGGAACATGCCCACGAACCAGATTTGTTTGGCCTCATAATGCAGAAAGAGAATAAATAACATTTGCATCCATGCTTGTCCCTGTGATATTCCATTAGGAACAAGATGGGGGAGAAAGAAGGAACAAAGAAATCGCCAAATCTGCCTGTTGGTAATGACGGTGGCAGGTTTTAGGGGAGAGATGGGGGGCAACACTAGAGGAGGTCACCTGGACTGAAAGGGAATAGGCCTTTCCGAGCAAGAACAAAATCTCTATATGCAGATC